AATTCACCGTTTGATTCCACACCATGACCTGAGCAAAAATGATAGAAAAATATCAAACGGGTTTCATGAGCGATTTTACTAGCCCACTGGCACTACATACTGTCTCAAATACTAGGGGAAGCGGGGGGAGCACCGCCACCTTAAGCATTTCTGCTCACCGAGCTGATATGCGTAGTAAAAACGAAGCTCTTTTGCATTCATGTGAAAGTAGGAATGTTTTCCTATATGTTGGCATAGTTTCCAGCGCTCCATTATAAAATGTCGCTACTTTACAGACGTCGAAAACAAGTCCTGCATTTTTCGTCCTCCAAAAAATGTGCGGGTAGCACCGCCACTGATGGCGATGTTATCCACAGATCGGCCTTACGGTGACAGCCACCCTTGGAAGCGTTACTGCTGTCTGAAATAGTAACTCAAACTCATATAAGACACACAAGAATTGGTTGTTAGTTTGTCACAGATCAGACTGTTTGTTGCGGACAATATGCATACAAAGCATGACAAATTCACGTTTATTTCGAAACATCCAGTGAAGTCAAACGTGAGGTTAAAAAACAGACGACGTTTGCGGCCTAACTAACGCTCTTCTCCGAGCTGAGTGAATCATCATTGCGGCTTTATCCATTTTGCCACCCCTTGGGGTAGCACCGCCGAGCATGGCGGTGTTACCCCACTCACAGTCATGGACCGACAACGCCCCGACAGCAAAACAAGCCGGGACGCGATTCTTCTGTAATTCCTTTCTCAACAAAGAGCACTTCATGCCCTCAAATTTAACGTAAAAATCAAGGCATTTTGACTTGAAATGACCACTTACTTGCTGCTCAAACATGCCAAATGATTACAACGATGGTTTGAAATTCACAAAATGGGCAATTGCGATCTCAAAATCAAATAAATCTTAGCGAAACCTACCTCGCGCGGCGTCCCGTTTCCGTTCGGACACCGAAATGGCGGGTGTTTACATTTACAATTCAGAGTTTTGCCGATAGAGAGGATGGCGGTGTTTCCCACATGGCGGTGCTACCCCCGCTTCCCCTATAGCTTATCGGTACGGTACGGTACCTTAAGTACTTTGTCTGAGTTACATACACTGCGGTGTTGCATGTGACCCAGTAGGCGTTGACATTAGTAGTGTGCTACTTTGTGTGTTTAATCGTCGTCCGTAACTACCAACAGAAGTTAGTGTGCGTGGTACAGTGATGGCCCATTGATCATTGTCTGCGGTGTGGGGGGGGGGGCTAGTAGGGAGGGGTTGACGGTATTTAAGTAGCTGTTCCAGTTCGTCCAGTTGTGCTGCGTACCTACTTTGACACAGGCCAGCGACTGCGCTCATAGCAGCTGTCCCGGAGAAACCGATAAAGGACAGGTAAACTGGTCTTGGGCTACCTATTTATATTTACCTTTGTTTCTGAAAACTGTTGAAACTATTTGCTTTTGTTAAATTTAATTATTTAAATTTCTTCATTTAAAATTCAATGTAATTAATCAATTAAAAGATTCAGAAACAATTACTGGGTACTGAATCCCAACTACGAAACAAATACGTAGCGCCCTAGGCATTATCATAGTGTTACTAAATAACTCTGCTATTTATAAACACTGTTATTTATTAGTTATTACACTGTCTACCTATGGCATTATTGTTGCGGCCATTCGCTTTCAAAATTTGTACCTATGTGCGTTTCAGACCCATTTTAGTAACTAAAGCCTGAGAAAGGAATTACAGCGCCTGAATAACTATCCACATGTTGGTGTCACTGAAATTTTGTAATACGGAAAAAATTCGTGCATGAAGAGCTGTGATGGGAATGCTATTCTGCACCGTAGGCAGTGCTTACAATTGCTTCGCGTGCAAAGAGAGAAACTTACCAGATGATAGTGTAACTCATTTATTAAACAGGCACTAAAGTTCGTTTTTTTTTTAAGTTCGAGCTTCGCCCCTCACTGCACGTCTCTTTGAATACAGCACGAGAATTGCTAGCTGAATTACTGAGAAAACTGACTGGCGCACATTGATTTCACAGACGATTAATTTCATTCAAAATTATTTCTTCCTGGCAGTCTTATTTGATATTTCCCATACGCCGAGATATCCCTTTATCATTATCCTAGCCGTGCGGGAAACATTTGCACGTGATCTTTCCTGCACTGTTTTCCGGCACGGGTTGATGACCTACAGTTCTGGTGATTTTTTGATAAAAATATTAAAAAAGGTGATTTCAATAATTAAATTGTGAGTTTCTGAATAGATATTAAACGACGTATGGGAAATATCTTACTGAACTTGCTCTGGGAAGCCAAAATGGAAACCGAGGTCTTTAAAAAATTGTAGGCACGAGGCGTAGCCGAGTGCCGGAGATTTTTTGAAGACCGAGTGTAGTTTTTTGAAGACCGAGACCTAAGTGTAGTGAAACGCAATGAAACATCACATTCTGTTTCCTTTTTAGTTGACTTTGGGACCTGACCTTCAATGAACTCGCCTAGCGGCTCGATGTTTAAAAGATTTGTTCTACCCACTCGCGGTTTAATATACATTAAGCTGCGAGTATAGGTAGAACAAATCGACGTTCAAAATATTTTTCTTACCTACGAGCGGTTTAATGATTTTATCAAGTACCGCCGATATCTTTCGAGCGCTAAAAGGTAAAAATACATTTTATGTAAAAAATACGACATATTTCAGACCAGACGAAATGTCTACTAAACGTTTAACAGTTTGTTAATCGGCTAGACGTTTAACAAATCAGTTACACGACATCTGATAAGTTTCTCTCTTTGCACGTTAAGCAATTGTAAATGCAATTGTAAATAATATATATTATCCCGCACCGTAGACAGTGTTTACAAGTGCTTCACGTGCAAAGAGAGAAAATTGTCAGTTGTCGTTTAACTGATTTGTTAAACGTCTAGTGACGATTAACAAACTGTTAAACGTCTAGTAGACATTTGTGCCATTTTACCGTCCCGTTATTTTCACCAGTATGCGGATGGAAACGTAATGAAACATAATTTTCCTCTTCTTTTTTAGTTGTATTTGGGACTTGATATCTTTTACCAATGTACCTGTCAATTTCAGACCGATCACATTGTTTGGACCGTTTTTCAAAGATTTATCTGTCTCTGCTTCTCTTTGTCTCTGGCTCTGCTGAAATATGTCGCATTTTTATATAAAATGTATTTTTTACTTTTTGGCTCCCGAAAGGTATCGGCGGTACGGGATAAAATTATTAAACCGCTCGTAGGAAGAAAAATATTTTAAACGTCTCGCCTATCGGCTCGACGTTTAAAAGATTTGTTCTATCTACTCGCGGTTTAATATATATTATAATATATATTGTCCCGCACCGTAGACAGTGTTTACAATTGGTTCACCTGCAAAGAGAGAAATTATCATGTCGTGTAACTGATTTGTTAAACGTCCATGTAGACGATTAACAACCTGTTAGTAGACATTTCGTATAGTGTGAAATATGTCGTATCTTTATATTAAATGTATCTTTTACCTTTAAACGCCCGACAGATATCGGGGGTACGGGTAGAAATATTAAACCGCTCGTAGGTAAAGAAAATATGTTAAAGGGACCCTCCCACCTTCAAAAAAGTTAATGAATTGGCATGAAAGTGATGTCGCTCGGTTCAGGAAGAGCGAAAACGAATATCTACCAAATTTCATCGAAAAATATTCACCGGTTTTCAAGATATTAGACTTTTACTATTGTTTACTTTCTGGGATCTCCGCTGTTCCTAGCGACTTTATTTGAAAGTGCGGCATTTGTTGCGCGCAAAGCAGCATATACCACCGCGTGCTACCAAACGTTTTAGTAAAAGATTTTAAAATCGTTAGACCTTCGCTGACGTCACAAATTGTAAGGGGGCATACCAATGCATTAGCCCCTTAGAATCCGAAAACTGCAAGTTTGAAATTCCATATCTCCGAATTAAAGCATTTTTCGATGTTGTGAGTGCCCAAACCGGTATTTTCAGGCCATGGCCACCAATTTGGCTATCTCAACTCAAAACTAATGTTAAGGTGGGAGGGTCCCTTTAAACGTCTCGCCTAGCCCCTAGGCGACTCGATGTTTAACAGATTTGCTCTACCTGCTCGCGGTTGAATATATATTCTCCGATATATGTATTTGAGGCAATAAAAGGGCATGTGCTCAATGGTTGTTGCGCTTCAAATCCGTTTATTTCTTCTCGGGTTTGTCAGGCTATATTTTGCCAAGTTCCAAACACTTTTTCTTGCGTGTTTTTATTATTCTTAGCTCCAAAGCCGTAGTCGTGATGGTTTTCAACGGTGCTGGATATCCTAAGTCAGCATTGTTCTCCAAAGGATAGCTTAAAGCTATGAGAAGAGACTAAATCGCAAGAAACAATTAAAAACATTTTTGTTTCAATGCAATTGCAAAGCCTCTCGCATGTTATCATTCTGAGGAATGCATAAGAAGACGTCGGCATAGGTATGCCAGAAACATCAGGCATGCCCATCATTAATTTTGACGAGACTCCTCAGAAACGTCATCGTTGTGTTAGATATACGGTGCTAGAATATTATCATCGCAAAGTGGCCATCCCACCTTACAGTTAGTTTTGAGTTGAGATAGCCAGATTGGGGTCCCTGGCTTGCACTTACCGGTTTGGGCACTAACAACATCGGGAAAGGATTTAATTCGGAGATATTTAATGTCAAAGTTGCAGCACTTTTGATTCAGAGGGGCTAGTGCATTTGAATGCCCCCTCTGAATTTGTGACGTCAACGCATATCTAGCGATATTAAAATATTATAGTACTAAGTAACATCTTTGTGAAGCAGTGGTGGTATAATCGTATGCTGTTTGCGCGCAACATCTGCCGCACTTTTAAGATACCGCACTTTTAAGCCATTATATGTTAATGACTCGTTTACAGGCTAACCTAGACACCCGTTTTTACCACAGCTGTGCGGTGACCTGTGCGTCGGCCGTCCGGGTGAGCGCCGACCCCGCCATCTGTCGGCCATGCCGTGCGGCTGCAGTTGGAACGGTCGCCGCTGGGTGGCCGGAGCCGAGGCTTCGCTCGGCCTCTCCGGGCTGCCCGTGGTGACCAGCGGCGGCGCGCACTGGTTGCGGCGACTCCTCTGGGCTCTGATTCTGGTCGTCTCCTTCGTCTGGCTGGTAGTACAGCTGCATGGAAGCGTGATTCGTCTGATGTATCAAAATGTGGGCACTGAGTCCCGGTACGAGCTGATGCAGAGCATGCCATTCCCTGCCATCACCATTTGCGCCGCACATCGCTTCAAGAAGGAGCAGTGGCTGAACATGTCTCTGGACGGCGTAACTGCTGAGCAGTTGGGGGCTCTCAAAGGCGAAGACAAATTCAGATTCTTGCGCTGGGATGAGCTGAACTTTGACGAGTTCTATGACAGTGCGTCGTACAGCTACGATGACCTGGTGGAGTCGTGTAGGTTCCACGGCCAGTCGTGTGCCGTTCTGAGCACTCTGAGCACCGCCTTCACCAACAAGTACGGCGCGTGTCACACAATCACCCTGACCACAAACGCCAACGGCACGTGGACGCAGCCACAGCTGGAGATGCGGCTCACGCTGCCCGATCCGGCCGACCCGGAGATGCGCGAGACATCGCCCGGCTGGTATGTCATCCTGCACGACTCCCAGACGGGCTTCTCCGACCTGTCGGCGTTCGCGCCGGCATCGTACAACGTGCTGTCCGTGCGCAAAGGGCAGGACACGACGGCGAAGATGCGTCGCCAGGAGACGTTCTACCTCTCCCTGACCGGTGGCGGGTGCTCGGACGAGGTCGGCGCCGTCGATCACGCTCAATGCCTCAAGGCCTGCCTGGATGGTCGTCTGAAGCCGCCTGCCGCTCATAACTCCAGCGAAACAACGCCTCGACAAACGAACAGACAAAACTCCACCGGCAAGAGTCGCAGAGTTAGATCGAGTGACGGCGACACGGATCCACGCAACAGTTCCGCTCCGGCGTGTCGACTCCCGTGGCAGAGACAGGAACAGCCTCATGGCCGCCCGTGTGCTACATTCGAAGAGCTGTCCTCTGCGATAGCAAATTCCGTCAACATAAAGTCACTCGACGAGTCGGAGCTCTTCAGTACCGGATACTTTGGGTGTGATTGTAAGCGCTCTTGCTCTGTGGTAACTTACCCCACCGATACCCCGGACCGATTTCCCATCACAATGCCGCAGTTCCTCAAGACATCCACACTCAGTCTCTGGCTATCAATGACCAAGGAGCATCGGGAAGAAAAGTGGAGCTTTTCGTTTTCACAGTTTGTGGCCGAGTGCGGCGGAAACATGGGAATATTCCTCGGTGCCTCTCTGCTGTCGCTTGTTGAGCTGGCCGATATGATCGGGTTTTGGTGTCTGCGTAAGCTGCAACCGAAGAGCCCAGTCCAGAAACGGGTTACGCCGAAAGTGCTTGTGAATTTTAAGCATTAACAGCTCCCGGAGTTTACTTTGCGCATTAATACCGGAGTACCCGTAGCTCCGTTGTCTTGTTAGTCGCTGGCACCTTGGCAACGCACTGCCCGCAGGGTAGCGATATGAAGTTGTTTGAAGTGGCGATTAACTCAACTGTACTGTCCTTCAAACATTCACTAATATCAGGTAGTGCGTGTTGAATGGCATCACGTGACCGCAAACCAGCCGTGGGGCTGATGCGACTGACGGTCTATTACAAAATAATTATGCCATTAAAGATGCACCGAATTCAGCAAATGTCAAATAGCCAGCCACTTAGCATGATTAAGTGTTTTGATGTGCAGTTTATGGATCACTCCTGGGGAATTTTCATGTGCGCAATTATAAGACTGGAGCTTCTTGCCACAATATGTAGACGTCATGTGGAAATTAAGCTATGATGTCAATAGCTGTCAATAAACGATGAAGAAACCCCAGCGTATCGTCATTATTCAAATATGTGTTGAGTATTTCAAAAAGTTGCCCAAGGGAGGCGGTTTTTGGTTTCCAAGAGATTTCTGTTCGTTTTTTTTTTTTTTTTTTTGACGGGGGAAGGGCTTTCGGTCTAACGAGACCATTTTATGGCCGGAAGGTCACCCGGAAGGATGATAGGAAGTGGGGGGGGGGGGGGAGACATGGTCTGAGCGAGCACCCTGGTGAGTCGCCGGGGCTGACCCCGTCCAGAGGACAGGCCGAACAGCCCTCAAGCACTCACCGCACCCAGCTACGGGCCTGCTCTTATGGGAGTCGCACGGGATAAAATTGCCCGCCCAGCCCCGAACAGGGGGTTGAGACGCAAAGAAGGACTTGACTGTCCTGAAGATGGAAACGAAGGGTCGGTGCCAAGAGATTCCGAAGAGCTCGGCTCCTGTCGCAGACTGCACAAACACACCTGGCGGGCCACTTTTGAAAAATATGTATTGTTTCGCCCGCACGGCGAACCTGATGACTATACAAGGCATCCAGCTGACGCTGGTGATATGAAAGGCATGATACGTGTTCGGGCATCGACGGGTCACTCACACGACACTCACAAATGCTGCACAAATCGACCGATTACACAGAGCCGGCGACCGTGGCGCCGCCCGGCGGCCAGACGGCAAACTAACCGCCCCGGGAGCACACACATACCCGTGTCCATTCGCCACGTATGATAATGCACTCAGCACGGCATACACAAAACACACTGACAGCCCTGCTACATGCAGGGCCCATACGTCCTGGCGGTGATACGGTACATGAACCTCATGCGGCTAAAGAACCCTGACGCAAAAATACACTATCAGCGCTCTGCATTGTGGTTTTACAACAGTCCCATGGCGAAGTTTTCCCTTTAGATAGTGAAGGGATTCCCCTACAGTAGGAATTTCCCCTTCATAGCAAATCCCCGATGCGATAATCCCGATAAATACAGCATAAACAGAGTACCAATACAGAGTTGGGCGGTGGGTCCAGCAGCGGCACCCAGCGGCGGTTGTCATGACAACAGCCGCCGGCTCGGCTCGGCGTATGCGCACCAGCTTGCTCTCACCACAGCCTGGAAGCGGGTATATCGCTGTGAAAACCCGGCGGCACCACACAGTGCCGCAGGACAGGCCTCCTTACGGGAGATCTGCCCGCCGCCTGGCGGTGCCGCCGGTAAACAGTAGTACCCGATGGCGTCCACAGATGACAGCGCGATCACCGAGCCTCGCCGCCGCCGCTACACACAATGGCACTGGCCAGCCAGCCTCTGACGTCATCCCGTATGACCAGTGACGTCACCACACAGGTCGATGACGTCACCGACTAGAGATGCGCCACGATTTCTACCTCTCCGTCGGAGGTGGGAGCGGTCTGCGCCGACCGCTCTACCGCACCGCTCACCGTAACCACAACACTGTTAGAGCGGGTCACGTGACACTGGTCCCCAGTCACCTGGCCGACCGTGTCGTCCAGCGGCGGAGCCGTGTCCTCGGTCACATGACCACCGTCCGTCTGCACAATCGTCACCAGGTTATCGTCCCGTTTGACCTCCTCCTCTAGCCGTCCCTCTTTACTCTCTCGCTCTCTCTTCTCACGTCTTCGCTTGCGTTTCCCATCCTCCAAGCTCCCAGTTTGTAGAACAGAGATCACATTCACACCATCCGTACTAGCAATGCCATCTAGCGGCGCGCCAAACACTAGAGATTCGTGCGACAGAAACGAGAGGACGCTGGGGTTGCGGCTGTGGCAGACTCCGGCCGGCTCCTGTTGCGGCTGAGGGTTGGCAGATGACTGGCGGGAGTGGTAGCTCGGTGGGTGGCTGTACTCCGAGTGGCCCGACAGAGTGTTCATACCAGGCCTGAGGGCGGCAGGGGGTAGTGTCAGAGGGAGGGCATTATTAGGTCACGGGTAACAGCGGGCCACTTATATCGGTCGCTAGCGCCAAAGTTATACCTTCGTTTCCCACCGTTCCCTGTTTGCCATCCTCAGGACAGGCAAATCCTTCTTCTCCACGCCTCTTTTCCCTGCTCCGGGCTGGACGGGCAGCTTTATCTCATGCGGGATTGCCCGTAAGACTAGCATGCCCGTAGCCGGGTGCAGTGAGTGTCAGGGGGCTGTCTAGCCTGTCCTCTGGATGGGCTCAGCCCCGGTGACTCGAGGGGGTGCCCACCCAGACCAATGTCTTCCCGTAACTCCTATCATCACTCCAGCTCTGAAATGGTCTCGTCAGACCGAAAGAGCCTAACACACCAAAACAAGCAAAATAGGAAAAACAACGTGATAAAACATGACACATGCCTCATCATTTTCCTTTTCTTTTTTTAATTTTTCCTTTTCTCTTTTTTAACCTTTCATTTTCGCAGCAGCAGCAGTTCCGACCAACAGCAGCTCGACACAGCATAGCACAACTCCCCAAGGTAAATCCTGACCAGTAGCCCCTCCCGTCCCTGTGTTCTCACCTCAGAGTGCCGGTGCCGGGTCGGTAGGAGGGCGGTGGTGACAGCACGGCCCCGTTTCCGGCAGCAGACGCGGCGTTATGTCTGTCCAACAGCAGACCCAGACGGTACGCCTGCATCGAGGCGTGATAGCTGGGCGGCGGCGGCCGGAACTGGAACTCGGGGTACACCATCGCTGCAACAGGTGGCGCTGTCAGTCACTACGCGGGGAGAGCAGAGACTGCAGTTGTGAGTGATTGATGGCTGATATCGAAGGATCGGAGAGCTCTAGCTATATGCTTGGACTGATGACATTTGGGCGAAGAGCAGAATACGCCAAGTAAAGCATTAAATCAAGCTTAATGTTCTGCACACTGAGACCGAGAAATCTAGTTGAACTTGGAAAGCATAGGACGTGTTGGATGCCCGTTTGAAATATCACCCAAACACACTCTGCTGCCTAAAGAAGATCGCTTCAGTGTTTGAAACGCAGGCCCATTTTCCAATAAATTCATGTAACTTGTTTTGTCTGGGCCATATGGGCGGCAAAGCCTTTGTGTGTCACGAATTACCACCAAAATTGTTAATCATCATCTCCACACCACCTCCTCTTGGCTCTCGCCCTCTACCGACCTGCATACGGATGGTGCGGTCTTCCGTAGGCGGGCACCACCCTGTGCATGAAGCGGCGTGACTCGGGCTCCTCCTGCTGTCTGGAGAGGCCGAGCATCATCCGGCAGGAGGGCGAGTCCCGGGAGGTGAGCCGCCACGCGATCCCCGACACCGTGATCAGCACTATACCGACTCCTGAGGGCGGGAGAGGGGGGGGGGGTCAGGGGGGGGGGGGGTTCAGAGGGACGGCGAGGTCTAGCCTTCGTACAATTACGACGGGATGAGGTCTCATTCTTAAAGATCGCGACATTTTTTAATACAACCGGTGTGGAGGAGTGACAACTCTCTCAGCTCTCAGATTACTTAGGAACATGCGGTGGAGACGTGAAAAATGTGGAAATACCCAATACCCATCCCTCATTGGGAGCCGCATCAAAATCAACCAAAGCAATGAACAGGAAATAGGTACAGGGTGTCCAGAAAAAAAGATACTACGGAAATTAAGTCGCATTTATTAACGCACGTGCCGATTTTGTTCCAACTTCATGTGCTTATAGTGCAAGATTTGGCAAAACTCATGAGCACTGTAATGCGTCGTTGGAAAGTTGTCTGCCTGCCCTCCGAGAGGGTCAACATGACCATCAGTCACCTGCCGACCGTGCTAGTGCTGGAGCTGATCCGCCGGAAGGCCGCTCACATTGAGTATCTGCTTTGAGGAGCTGCCGCGACTAACCAAAGGGTTTACATGCCATGTGGCACATGCTGTCTGTTTTGCCATATTTTTGCGAATACAAGCATGTGCCATTTTAAAATGTGCGGTGTTTATTTTCGGAATTACAACAAAAAATAATAGTATCCGTTTTTTCTGGACACCCTGTATATGATCGAAAGAGATGTTGATATAATACCTCTACGAAACACGACGAGGTCAACCAACACGTCGGGAGAATCAAAACCAGAGCTGAGATTCCAGCAAACAGCGCGACCAGGGAATTCCTCCGCCCCACACCGGTGCCCGCAGCTCCCCACAACCCGTTAACACATGCTAATCAATGCAGACACGCACACACACACACATAGCGTGCCGGCGTGTAGCCTGGGGGGAAACTCAGCCCGTCCGGGCACGCCCTGAGGAAAAGAGCCGGCAGAGAGGGCTGGAATTCCACGCACGTCCTATGCCGGCTGAGATAACCGCATTTATTACCAGACTGTGGGGTGCTTCAGAACGCATTCTTTCGTGAGATGTGCGGAGTACTGCTGACAACCCTGGCCGTGTATTCAGTGAGCTTATGAATAAAAAGGCGCATTAGCAACACACATTGTCACATTAAAACCACACACGATGCACCAACTCAAGGAGGAAATTCCAAAGGAATCAGGGCAGACTTCCAACCGCATAACTTTCGAATGATTTGGCAAGCAAGTATGCTATGATTTCCTCTGTTAGCTTCAATGATCATGTTTTGATCGTCAGCTGAAAAACTGCCGTTGGGGCAGCATCTGTAAGAAATTAACGGCCTCGTCCATCGATCGGGCAGACTACAGTGATGCGCTCCAATGCGCCTAA